CGCGCTATACGCTGAGTGATTTTTTTATTTCAGAAAAATGTAATCACCATATACGGTACAGTATTGGCCGCTGCTGGTGCAAGGCTGTGAAAACTGTTTGCTCGCAGGTTTCTACCAGTTCGAATACTTTTATTCCCGTTTGATTCCATTTCTCCTTTTGCTAATCTTGACCTAAAACATAATCAAATTTTGATCAATGTCACCACTGGGGCAGTATTCAATCCTTCCCCCAGGGGGATGTATCCCCCCCTACTCTGATTCAATCCTCTGGGGGGACAAAAAGGGTTGCGTCATAGGACCTAGCATACCTCTGTGTTTCTACCTGCCAGACAGTTAGAGCAGCGCGACCCCTCAGGGAAAAGAGTGCTTCATCAGTGGAGGGTAGTCGCGCTGCTCTAACTGTCTGGCAGGTAGAAACACAGAGGTATGCTAGGTCCTATGACGCAACCCTTTTTTGTCCCCCAGAGGATTGAATCAGAGGAGGGGGATATATCCCCCTGGGGGAAGGATTGAATACCGCACCTGGATTTCGAAATTTTGAACACGCCCCTTAGAGATTACCTGCGCTCATTGTGACCGTCTAGAAATTGTCCTCTCTGTATGTCATCATTTTGTGGATTGTCACAATGCGGTCCTTAAACGCAATAGAAGAATTTCATCCATCAATCAATACTTTTCAATAGTTATTTTAGGTAGTACAAAAAAAATTAAATTTAGGATCTCACTTTCGAAAACTGGAGTAGGAGTAGGTGCATCTGAAAAAACAACATGAATTTCCTTATAATTAGCTGTATGAATTTTTCGCAAACCAAAGTCTTTCGATTGAATTTTCTTGACTTTGAGGGTGGAGTACACGGTGAGAAAGAAGATAGCCCTCAGGGTCAGATGGCGAGAGGGTAGGCGGGCAGCGGCGCTAGCGGAGCGGGGATGGCCATGCCAAATTGTCAGAAGCATATCCTTCGCTGCGTGGATATGCTCCTGACAATTGCGTGTCGGTCCGCATTCCTAGGGGTTCCGAACTTTCTTTGCACTTAGTAAAATCCCCCTTCTTCGACCTTCTGTTCGTCACGGAACACTCCTTCAATGAGATCGGATTCTGTCTAGGCTCCTTGAAAGCAACAGACGCGATGGCTAAGAGGCGGTATGTTTCGGATGACGCTATTGGATCTAATTTGGTGAAAGGGTGCCAGCGATGTGGTCTGGATCCCCCAAAGCCTCTTTACCGATTGTGGTCGGTGACGTCAAAAGAAACGTTCCAAACCTCAGTCATCGCACCTTTAGCCTCCAAACTTTTCTAGCCTCTGGTCAGCTCTTGATTGTCTGATTCGTTGTTAAAGGTGTGGAAAATTGGCCAAAACATTAGCTGCCCTCACCAGGTTTCCCTGTCAGCTATGCAGACCTTTGAGCGTTTCTAAGATTTTCAATGAAAACCAAATGTAAGGTACACCCAAATGGAAGCGATTTTCGATTAACAGTCCTCTGATCTCTGAAAGTACGAAGCGCAATCATGCCAGAGAACGGCTTGTGAAATCCTCTATCTTATGTGAAGCTGATTGAAGCGAACCACAGCCGCTTAGGTGCTTTCGAGGTTTCAAAAATTGCTTACTTTGGAAGTTTCAACGGCCTTTGAAGCAATGAGAACATAACCTGAAACAAGGAGAGTTGCGCTGTGAAATTACAAAGGGTCGCAGTTGAAATCGAAGCAAAAGGTGTGGAAACTAACAAAAAAGACTTCTACAATTAGAGTACCCCAATAAACGAGCTATCACTTTCGGCCGTTAATTCGGGCGTTTTATTTGAACGTCCCGGCACCTGAGTTGGACGCTTCCACTTGTAACACCGACACTTTCTTGAGTTCCAGAGGATTTCCATGTCTCTGAAAGAGTGGAATTTGAAATTCGTATTCATTATTATCAGGAAAGTATGATTTTACGGCTCACCTTTATTAACAATAGTTATGAAATCAGGATCTGACTACTAGTAAAGGAAAACTCAGCGCCAGAGAGTCGCTCCTATATTCTTCCTGGAAGGTTTGGTAACAAGTATTAGAACACTGGAAACAAATTGTAGAACAATTTCTCGTTTTCGATTATTACGACTTGTTTATTCTTAACAGCAATCCAGCAGGAGACGTAGGTTTTTTATGTCTGGGTGGAGTTCGGCATTGGTTTCCCAAGACTTTTAATGCAGAGCATTGTATAGGATTCGATGATCAGCTCGTCACCAAATTAGGACACCTGTATAGATGGGTATGCCACTATGAGATGCGACTACTGCATGTTTTTTTTTTCAATACACTATTATTGGATCGTAAAAGAGAGTGCGGCGTTTCAGAGCCGTACACATCCCTCAGCTATGGAGCCTAACGAGCTTTGCGCCTACCGAGGTAAGTGCTTCCCATTGCGCCACTGAGGCCAACTTTGAAGAACAAGCCTCTCCTTGAGGTAGCCAGGACCTACAGCGGTGGTGTACTTGGTCGCGATTTGGAAGTGAAAAGGAGGTAATGCCGTTCACTTCAACGCTACCATTTCTTAATCATTTGCGCACACATACCACTCCACATTCTGACGATGCTCCCTTCGCGGTGTTTCCTCACCGCAGCACCGTTTATATCTCCGATCGCTTCCACAGGCGACCTCAAACTTGGTAATTGCAGTGTTTGTTTATGATTTCGTGGCTTTTTTTTCATCATACAAAGGTGCTTTTCATTCTTATTTGAGCACAAATTTATTCTCCAACTTCAGGAGGTCTCGTGCCTAGTCCGTAACCTCGAGTATCCATTTTCTTCCGACAGCCTCCTTGCCAGGGTCAACCGTCCGTTGGACAAAGTCCAACGCGACGACGAGAGTAATGCCGAGAGTGAACGTACGCACGGAGACACAGACGGCTCGCGGGTGGCGAGAGTGAATGCCGGCGCGGAGAGTGAACATCGGTCCAACGTCGCTCCAATATCGGTCCAACGTAACGGTTGACCCTGCTCCTGACTGACCACTTCAGCAAAAACAAGCTTACAAGGAAGGTCTTTCAGGACCATGGAACGCTGTTTGAGAACTGATTAGGAGGCTTCAGGCGAAAACACACACCATGGGCTTCTTTCATTAGCATTGGGAATTCAAATAACCACTGCTGAATAATGGTCCCAAATCCGCTCCTCCGTTGATGGGCAAAATTTGCGTTTTTAGGACGACGCCTCCAAACAGGCGTCAACCGTCCGTTGGACAAAGTCCAACGCGACGACGAGAGTAATGCCGAGAGTGAACGTACGCCGGCGCGGAGAGCGGTGAACATCGGTCCAACGTCGCTCCAATATCGGTCCAACGTAACGGTTGACCCTGTCTCCAAACACCAGCGTCAAGAGTAGATCGCCGCTAGACTATTTATGAGACAACCTCGTAATTTTGGCGGCAATTTGGAGGAAGGAGCATAAATTGCAAAAATTCTTGTCATTACAAAGGGAATCGAACTCTGGACCATTTCTTCACCACTGTTTTGACATTCGCAAGAACGTTCAGGAGAAATGGACCATGGTTTTGTGTTCTATGCATGAGCCTCTACAAAAAGGCAGGAAAAAGTCCAATTGCTCAGTGTCCTGAATACCCTCCTTGTAGTTCGATTCGCGGCTTGCCGTAAACAATCCAAAACCAGACAATAAGTATAATGGCTGCTGCTGGTGTTCTCCTGGATGAATGTTCGAATGATCAGCCGAGTGAAACGCGCTACACATTCGACTTACATTTGATCACTAATGCTTTCAAACGCCCATGTTCAGCGTCCGTACTACTCTTGCAAACCAACGGGTAGGTAAAAGCTAGCCGGTTTACCTACTCCGGACATATGGGACAGGCGAATATTCGACCATGTCCACAAATTGAGTTCGATATCTACATCTTCAAAATTTTCAGAGCTGTTGTGGTCTATCATGAATTTGAGGAACTTCAAGACCCTCTTTACTATAAGACAAACGAAAGAGGAGCATGGTTAGTCATGCTGTTTACTTGACTAATACGCAGAGGAACGCTCACAAAATAATTGGACCATGAAGGAAGTGAATCAGATCTCAATGAAAGTAAAAATACTGTGATAGTGCAGGGGTAAACTTATCCAATGAATGTAGGAAAAGTGAGAAAATCGATGCAGTGCCAGAAAGAGAAAGAGGAGAAAAGTGAGCAATCAGTACTCTGAACATTTTCTTGATTGATGTGATAAGTTAATCTCGAATTTACCGTATAAAGTCGGTCAATCAGTAATGCTGGTAACCATGACATCAATACCAGCGCAATGCAGGTCAGGTCACATCATCATCTATAAATGATAACATAGAAAAGCAGTCGGGCGTTAAATCTTACCCTATAGGTAAGAATGATGGAGAGATTTGGGATGCGCCGTACTCTCGCCTTCTACTCCGAATTCTAGTGGTAGTTGAAAGTGTGGCAGGTAAAATTATGCACGGGAGCGAATAAGCTAGCAGACTACTCTGAAGTGGAGTTCCGGGCGTTAGCTGCGAGGATGATGGTTTTGGCAAGGAGGTGCTGAGGTATTGCTACGAGTTTCCTGCAATGGTCAGTATTTGAAGGAGGACATCAGGGAGAAGGAAAATTGTTTCGAGAAGGTGGGAGGAGGCAATGGTGCGGGCGACAGAGACTGTGAGATAATTTCTCGCTGATGAATTCGCTCAATTTTTTGCTTTCCCCAAAGCTAGCTTGTAATATTTCCATTTTCCTCCTGCGTTTCAGTCTGCCAAAGACAAAGTTACCTATATGGGAGGTTAGGCCCAGTGGGGGCAAGTCTAGGACCAGTATCAACGCATACTATTGGTAACTTACCAACTAGGGGAATCGATAGTTGGTTTTTTTCTGGAGAGGAACGGCGGGAGAGGTGTCTATATTTTGGGTTTTTGATTGTTGGTACATTGGTGACTTGTGGGTCGTGGAGTTTTCAGAGTGTTTGGCACAGATGATGTTCGGGGTTCGAAATGCGTGGCAGGAAAAAGGGTTCTACAATTAGTAAACTGCTGCAAGGTGTTAGGAAAATGCTAAAAAACATATTAAAATGTTTATTCAAGCCGAAATGCATTCAAAAAATACGTGGTGATTTTACGATTGATTCAAGAAATGAAAGCTTATCCAAAACTATGCATAAAGTGAAGAGTATCATAAGCATATAGGTACTGTTACAGAAAAGACATAAAACATCTATAGGTTCTAAAAATGCAGTCATTAGATGAGATTATAAATACTATTAGCGCCTACGCTATGCTATGCCAGTTTAAAGCCATTTGTCTTATTTTGTTGAATATTTTCTGATACTCAGGTTGTCAATTGCACGTATCGTAGTAGAGCTGAACTCCATGCGAAATCGTTGAAGAGCAGGTTCAAAATCGGCGAAATCACGAATCACCTGCAAGGAAATCAACAATTAACACAATGACGACAGCGCGGGACAGCGCGGGACGCGAACGGCCCGCGATCCCACACAAAGGGGTTTTGATAAATTGTGCTTCTATTTCTATGTCCTTACCACATTGGTCCCCCGCCAACTTCATTTCTCTAACGCCCTTCATTTTACCCTCTAGTTTCCTGAGAGCATCGTTCGAGAAATGTTTGATGGCAGCCAACTCGTAGCTACTCTGTGCACTGTTGAACCGCAGTTCGGCTTCTGCGGTCGCTCCTGCGGAGAATACGGCAAAGAAAGGGTATAGGATATGGAGGCTGTAGAAGAGGCCATGGAGAAGAATATGGGGCTTGGGGATTCAGAGGATACGGTGGAGGTGCATTTGGAAGAAACGGTCGATCCGGGTAAGTCCAGAATCAATCAGCCCAACCCGGAAGCTCGGTTTGCCTGGGCGAGGTTTGACCCATGGACCATAAATTTGATTCAGGGACATCATCCCTGCTCGTTCACTTTTGTCGACCCGTGTCACAGCCTTATCGTGCTCTACATAATCGGTTGAGCATGTTTGCTTGTGTACATAACTATCGGGTGGCACTGCACTGATGTTTGATGCTCAGCATAACACTGTTTCGTGGTTTTGCTGATTAGGACCAGGGTTCAAATCTAACCCGATCGGTGGCAATTGTTGCTAACTAGTCGATCGCTCGGCTGAGTTGGACCATTCGATAATTTCACTTTGAGAGGTCAAAAGGTTAAAAAAAAGGTTTAAATAACGCTTTTAAGAAGTTTAAATTTTGTCCCCATTTTCACATTTTTGCCATTCTGCGCCAAAAAGGATAATAAAAGTCAGTGAAAATAATTTACCTCAACACTTCTTGTGAATGGATCATAAACGACTGCAAATGGACGCTCGAAGGAACGTGCATATTCTCTGGAAAACAACCATGCATCCATGGAAATAGAAGTATTATGAGAGCCTTGTTCGTTACTCATGGTGAAACTGGGTAGTCTCAATGGAAGGAATTCGGTCTTTACGATAATAATCACAGCCACGGTTACTATTCATGTGCGATTCTATTAGAGATTCAGAATAAACAGATTATGTGCGTAAGGTCACAACGCGGCGAGGCGCAGGCTTGTTGTATGTCGCGCGCGGCATTCTTGCGCGGCAATTGGCTTGAGACCTTTCTACTCCACACACCGGGTTGCGCTACATCTGCTGTGTAAGTTCACAGCCCTCCTGCGTAGCTGACGGAGGGCAACGAATCAAAAGTCGCGCAATATCTCGGCCCAGGGGCGCGATAAATGTCCGCGCTGCTGCGCCATGACCTATGACTGTACATGCCAGGGAATCAGGTTTTCCTACACCAACATATCTTCTATTTCGGAAGACGAGAAGAGCGTCGAGTGCAGATCACCTACCCACAAGCGACGACGTTTTTTCTTGGTCATGTCACTTGTGTGATCTCGGTTTTGCCGAAATGAAGGGTTATATATAATTTCGACGCTTTCTCTATAGTGTTTACCTGAGCTTCGACAGTGCATCTTGAATGCTCTGGGCGACAAAATATAGGGGTTGATAGTCGCTATCTTCATATTTTTGCACAGCTGTAGTGGCCGGTCGAACTCACGATGCCTCAGGCTTGTCTGAGCAAGGCATGCTGCAACATTGTCGTGAAAGAGAAATAATGCGTAGACAGTAAATCCTCTAAAGAAACATGGTTGCACATTAGGAATTGGGCCCAAAAAACGCTTTCCAAATATCAGGGTTCCTCCGAACTGGGGAAGCAGATTAATCTGATCTCGCACACTTCGTTTGAAAACTGATTTAGCTCACTTTAAAGGGTCTTCTGAATTCAACTCAATTCCTTCACAGGAATCCATTTTTTACTTTCATTTTTAGAAATCCACTGAGTACCCGACAAAAGGCCGTCGCGCGGCGTGAAGGTAGAGTCAACCGGACGAGTCGCAGCACGTTGTGCGTTGTAGAACGCTGCAATGGTATTCTATTTCACATGACGTGAAATCAACAAGTACGCGTTGCGACTCGGCCGCTGATTGTCCTCGTTGCCGCGCTACGGGCCTCCTGTCCGGTACCCCAAATCCGCACCACACGTGCGAGCCACGCCCCCACAGGCGCAACACGTCCACATTTCCTATAGTACAGCATCCTGATTCATATTCTGGTGACTCTCGTTCAATTTCCTTCTTGAAATTACTCTGAACAAAAAAAAAGTAGAAATGTTTCTTTGGACCATCAATTCTCCGTAAGCAGAAAGCAATCCGGCGCCAATCGCTTTCAACTGTCCGTCCTCTCGACACAACCCAAACTCGATAATGAACCAGTAGACCTGAAAAAATCCAGCTACGCAAGAGAATGGGAAAACTGCTACCAAAACTGCTTACGGTGGCCAACTTCTCAATCTGTTCGTCAGTAGCGCCCAAACTCATCAGACCGCGATGTCCTGAACAATGGCTGTAATAAGTTTATCATTGTCAGTTGTCACAGTGAAGGTACCTGGCTCATTTGCGCTACCATGGGATCGGCAAACATTGGCACGTGTCCAAGAAGCTCGTGAATTAGATCCGGTTCGGGCGAATGATGTGGCTTGCTGCCATGTCGTAAGTACGTTGTAGTCTGTAAAGGTGGATCAGGTGAAGACTAGAGAAGAATATCCCGAACTTGCCTTCTGCTTCAGGTTAGGCTACCCATGTAGCATAACTGATCATTCAAGAGATATAGTGAAGGTTTCATTAGTGACGGGCTGCCTACAGGCACGGATCGGGTTAAGGCGGCCAGGCGACCCCCTGTCAACTAATTTGGCTGGGATTGCACCAGAGCGCGGTGGCGCCCCGCTTCTGGCGCAGGAATAACGTCCCTGGCCTGGAATTTGGAGAGATGGTCGCCTGGCATTGTCTATGACAGCCCACCGCTAGAGGTGTACACGTGGCATAGTATGGCCTTCTCTTAATACACCCTCTATTTCGGAAACGAGAAGAGCGTCGAGTGCAGACCACACACCACAAGTGACGACGGCCAAGAAAAAGTGGCTTTCTTCTTTTCTTTTTCTTGGCCGTCGTAACTTGTGGTGTGTGGTCTGCACTCGACGCTCTTCTCGTTTTCCGAAATAGAGGGCACACCAAATCAAATCCATCTCAACAGGGCTTGTTAGTACCAGCAATGATACTTGGTAGTAGTGCAAGCAAGATGCTGTGAGAAGGAGAGAGTTCATTTTGGCTCTGCTGATGGTTTCTTCCCGTTTTCTCCTTCACTAGCATTACAATTGTCATTTCTGCTCTCAGGATTAAGCGCCGCAGTACCCCAACTCGATTCCGACCCTTGATTTTGACAGTGAAACAGGAGATGAAAGTGTAAATCTCCCAACTCTGCAATGGGCCACGCAATTAGATTCAATTCAGAATGCGGGACTAATTGGTTCGAGTTTCTGTGTGGAACATGAGACTTGGTCTACCGGCGGAATTCCTAGTAGCGGCGCAGCCTAATGCTGACTTACACATTCAGATTTAAAATTCTGACCTGAAACACACGGAAACGCCAAGCTGGCCAGGAAATCTCGTGCAGAAAGCAGGCCACTACAAGGGCGAAGAATGAAACCGGTTTTCTCTGGAAAATTGTCAAATTTGCGGGAAAATTCGACTACAAAATTACCCAACTTACTCTGAAGATACTTGTTGACGTCTCTGATCTGAGGAATTTTATTCGGCGTTAAAACACCCTCGTCTTCTAAGAGCTTGAGATTCCTCCTAAAAAATGGACCTTATTCAACTCCAAATTGAAGAAACAGGAAAATGTACTGCTGACAAATTGTGCCCCTCGGTGAATCAGTAGTGGCACAGCTTGAGTGCGCCGTACAGCTTCGTTGCGCGTCACGCACTGTTTGTGCGCGGCCGAATCGCGTTCCGCGTGAGACGGTTTGGTGCCGCAGTCGCTTCCCACGCTGAGCGGCGTAGCCAAAAGGAAGAAACGCTGCACATGCGTTGAGAAGGAGCGAGAGTGTTGGAATTGAAAACAAAGTCAAGGTGCGCAGACCATACCGTTATTAGAGGACTTTGAACTGGGAGGTGAGCTATTAGCTACTTCCTTCCTTCCGCTCATTTTCGCTTATCCTAAGGCTCGTGAAGGCTGATCGTGCTCTTTTGACTCAGGAAAGATTCTATTCCTCTCTAAAAGGTCTGACCTGTAAGCAGAGCAGGCATGAGATTCACGTAGATCGCGAAGTTTCTCGTAGACAGCTCTCCATGTTTCATGCTCCTCTTTCGTGTAGTCCACATATGGAATGGGTTCGCCACTAAATACTGTAACCATTACTCATAGTATTGTATTGAATAGCCAACAGTGTAAAAGAAATTAAATGAGTAAGAAATTAGTAGCGCAGTCTACGAAGCCCCTGCCCTCATTTGCGCCCGTGATACGCCCCTTGCAGAAAGTGGGGAACCTCTTCAACCCAAAGTTATGGAGTTGCTAAATCTTCTGAGAACGTTTTGGATTACTTTGCCAGGGTAGGTTGCAGGTGACCCCATTTTGAAGACTGCTATTGAATTGTTTCTGACTAGCTGTACCTATTTGTCTGGGTGAGACAAGCGTCACCTGCAAAATGAATTTTGGCCACGCCCATTGAGAAAATATCTCTCTCTTCTCCTTTGAAACCGGCACTTCAATGGCATTTTCTCTTTGGAAGCTGAACTTGGGCATATGAAGTACCACATTTGATCTACTCAGCCCATAAGCAATTCAACCTTCTATGGAGAGATTTCCCAGCAACGACACCCCAAACGTCTGAAGAAAGTTTACATTTCACAAAAAAAAACAGTAGAAAAACCAGTTACTGTCTGTATTCCATTGCTTGATCGTTCAGGAACTTTCGCCTTGCGATGTAGGCGGCATCACCGTGACCCTGAACACGAATCGAAATTATGTATGTAAAGAGTGTTGACCGAATAAGGGATAGGGAAAGGACACTCGTTCACCGTCCCCAATTTATATTTGAATAGATTTACCTATAGGTGTGGTTATTTGGGAAACAAAAACGTGATCCTTTGTCATTGGAGAAAATACTGGGTCTT